CCCAGTGCACCAGGCCCGAGCACTTGTCTCATGCACCCAACCTGGGCTGGTGATCTGTTTCACCCTAGATAATATACATATTTTGATGCTGTTCTCTTGAAACATCCCACCCTCGCCTTCTCCCAGAGTCCACAAGTCTGTTGTGGTACATATACACCATGGAATATTACTCAGCCATTAAAAAGAATTCATTTGAATCAGTTCTAATGAGATGGATGAAACTGGAGCCCATTATACAGAGCGAAGTAAGCCAGAAAGATAAAGACCATTACAGTATACTAACACATATATATGGAATTTAGAGAGATGGTAACAATAACCCTATATGCAAAACAGAAAAAGAGACTCAGATGTATAGAACGAGCTAGGCTTTTAATCAAAGTTTGCTGCTGCCTGTTCAGTCTGCAGTCAGCCCACAAATAAACGTCCATGTCTCAGTGTTCAGTTTCAGAGCCTGCCAGTGACTGCCTGATGTGTATATGTTTTCCAGGCCACATGCAGTGTGCGCCTGCTTTCCCTCCCGCCCAGGTCTCCCCTATCCACGGAAAATACAAAGAAAGAATTGACCAAGAACAACGAAAGTGCAGCCAAGAAACAGAAAACGACGACCCTGGAAGTCCACTTGGACGTGGTGACAAGACGCCTGAGCATACCTAGGCCAACACTGCCACCGTGTGAGAGGCCAGTGCAAGGAGCGCTCAAGAGTTCAGAGGAGGAGGGGGCGGGAGGGACAGGATGAAGATACCTCAGGAAGGCAAGGTGGGTGAAAACCTTCCTCTTTGGAAGGGCGCCTTGAGATAGTTCCCGCAGGACCTTGAGAGCCTAAGGGGTTATGTATTGGAGGCTGATCTTAGTTCAGTTCAGTTCAGTCGTTCAGTCGTGTCCTACTCTGCGACTCCATGGACTGCAGCACGACAGGCCTCCTTGTCCATCACCAACTCCTGGAGTTTACTCAAACTCATGTCCATTGTCGGTGAGTCGGTGATGCCATCCAACCATCTCATCCTCTGTTGTCGCCTTCTCCTCCTGCCTTCAACCTTTTCCAGCATCAGGGTCTTTTCAAATGAGTCAGTTCTTCGCATCAAGTGGCCAAAAAATTGGAGTTTCAGCTTCAATATCTGTCCTTCCAGTGAACATTCAGGACTGATCTCCTTTAGGATGGACTGGTTGGATCTCCTTGCAGCCCAAGGGACTCTCAAGAGTCTTCTCCAGCACCACAGTTCAAAAGCATCAATTCTTCGGCGCTCAGTTTTCTTTACAGTCCAACTCTCACATTCATACAAGACTACTGGAAAAACCATAGCCTTGACCAGACGGACCTTTGTGGACAAAGTAATGCCTCTGCTTTTTAATATGCTATCTAAGTTGGTCATAACTTTTCTTTCAAGGAGTAAGCATCCTTTTGTTTCATGGCTGCAGTCACCATCTGCAGTGATTTTGGAGCTCAAAAAAACAAAGTCTGCCACTATTTCCACTGTTTCTCCATTTGCCATGAAGTGACAGGATGGGATGCTATGATCTTTGTTTTCTGAATGTTGGGCTTTAAGCCAACTTTTCCACTCTCCTCTTTCACTTTCATCAAGAGGCTCTTTAGTTCCTCTTCACTTTCTGCCATAAGGGTGGTGTCATCTGCATATCTGAGGTTATTGATATTTCTCCTGGCAATCTTGATTCCAGCTTGTGCTTCATCCAGCCCAGCGTTTCTCATGGTATACTCTGCATATAAGTTAGATAATCAGGGTGACAATATACAGCCTTGATGTACTCCTTTTCCTATTTGGAACCAGTCTGCAGTTCCATGTCCAGCTCTAACTGCTGCTTCCTGACCTACATATAGGTTTGTCAAGAGGGAAGTCAGGTGGTCTGGTATTCCCATCTCTTTCAGAATTTTCCACAGTTTATTGTGATCCACACAGTCAAAGGCTTTGGCATAGTCAATAAAGCAGAAATAAATGTTTTTCGGGAAGTCTCTTGATTTTTCTGTGCTCCAGTGGATGTTGGCAATTTGATCTCTGGTTCCTCTGCCTTTTCTAAATCCAGCTTAATCATGTGGAAGTTCACAGTTCACGTATTGCTGAAGCCTGGCTTGGAGAATTTTGAGCATTACTTTACTAGCGTGTGAGATGAGTACAATTGGGCGGTAGTTTGAGCATTCTTTGGGATTGCCTCTCTTGGGGATTGGAATGAAAACTGACCTTTTTCAGCCCCATGGCCACTGCTGAGTTTTCCAGATTTGTTGGCATATTGAGTGCAGCACTTTCAAAGCATCGTCTTTTAGGATTTGAAATAGCTCAACTGGAATTCCATCACCTCCACTAGCTTTGTTCGTAGTGATGCTTCCTAAGGCCCACTTGATTTCACATTCCAGGATGTCTAGCTCACACCATCATGGTTATCTGGGTCATGAAGATCTTTTTTGTACAATTCTGTGTATTCTTGCCACTTCTTCTTAATATCTTCTGCTTCTGTTAGGTCCCTACCATTTCTGTCCTTTATCGAGCCCATCATTGCATGAAATGTCCCTTTGGTATCTCTAATTTTCTTGAAGAGATCTCTAGTCTTTCCCATTCTGTTGTTTCCTCTATTTCTTTGCATTGATCGCTGAGGAAGGCTTTCTTATCTCTCCTTGCTATTCTTTGGAACTCTGCATTCAAGTGGGTATATCTTTCCTTTTCTCCTTTGCTTTTCACTTCTCTTCTTTTCACAGCTATTTGTAAGGCCTCCTCAGACAGCCATTTTGCCTTTTTTGCATTTCTTTTTGTTGGGGCTGGTCTTGCTCCCTGATTCCTGTATAATGTCATGAACCTCTGTCCATAGTACATCAGGTACTCTGTCTGTCAAATCTAGTCCCTTAAATCTCTTTCCCACTTCCACTGTATAATTGTTAGGAATTTGATCTAGGTCATACCCAGGTCATATCTAGGTCTAGTGGTTTTCCCTACTTTCTTCAGTTTAACTCTGAATTTGGCAATAAAGAGTTCACGATCTGAGCCACAGACAGCTTCCAGTCTTGTTTTTGCTGACTGTATAGAGCTTCTCCATCTTTGGCTGCAAAGAATATTATCAGTCTGATTTTGGTGTTGACCATCTGGTGATGTCCATGTGTACAGGGGTTATGTATTGGAGGCTGATCTTAAGTTGGGGGGAAAGGACTGTTCATCAAGATGCCACGACCAGAGGCAAGCACTGTTCAATGTGCTGTTCCTATGAGTTTATAAAATAAGTTAAGATTTTTTCATGCCAATGTTTTTGCTGATAGTCTACTAAATAAACCACAGAAGCAGAGGAAGCTCCTCCAGAGATTTCCCAGGAGACCCCAAGGGAGGCAGAAGTCGTATTGGAAGTAACAGAATCCTGAAACTATGTGAAAGAACGTCTGTCATCATTCCAGCTCTTTTGCCCTTCTGGCTACTTCGATTTGCCCCAATCCCACTCTGTTTAAAAGAACTGTTCCCATTCTACTCCCATCAACTGGCTCATTTCATGTACCTTATAGATGAAAATTTCCTCAGCATCTTTCTTTTTGCATTCTTAATTGCATGTCTGGAAAGAATATGCTGGCAGAGGAAATGGAAATGATTTCATTGGAGGCATTCCATAAGTAGAATCCTTATGGTAAAACATGTATCTTTAAATAGTGATATATTCTCCATAACTGTCTATCAAAACTCATTTCATGGGACTTCCCTGGTTGTCCAGTGGTTAAGAATCTGCCTTGCAATGTGTAGGATGTGGGTTCAGTCTTTGGTGGGGGAACTAGGATCACACCTACTGTGGAGCAACTAAGCCTACATGCTGCAACTAAGACCTCACACAGCCAAATAAATAAATTTTTAAAAAATCCTTCATTTTGCTGTCATAGTGCCTACAAAACACCAAACTGTGTACAGTCCATAGAAATGTGTATGAAAATGCTTGTTTCTGTTTTTCGAGCAAGAGACATCGATTATATTCTTTTTTCTTTCTCTCTCTGATGTATAAGTGTGTCAGGAGACACAGTAATTTTTCTTTTTTGTGACCACCACTGAAGTTGAGCAACTCGTCCTACTTAAACTGATTCCTCATGTATGTCTTGCTGTTAAATTTTATGTTATGAGATGCCATTGGGTTCATTTTACTATTTATTGTATGATGTGAAAATTCTAACATATCATCTTTCAGTTTTGTGCTCTCTTACAGCATCCACACAGGCTGATCAGTGCTCATCCAGACATTCAAGAGGAAGTCTGTCCTGGAACCAGATTGCTCAGTTAGCTCACCTGTCAGAAATGATAACTTGAAATCACCTGGCCCTCAGGTCTTCCATCAAGAGAAGTTTGTCCAAGACTTCGAAAGCAGCATCCGGGTGCCAAGTGAGAGATTTGCACATATCTCCATCCAGCCTTGAATGAACCACCCTCCTCCTCCAAAGAGACCCAGATTTAGTCCATTTCAGACTCTCCAGAAGAGGACTTGGAGAAGGCAATGGCAACCCACTCCAGTACTCTTGCCTGGAAAATCCCATGGACGGAGGAGCCTGGAGGGCTGCAGTCCATGAAGTCGCTAAGAGTCGGACACGACTGAGCGACTTCACTTTCACTTTTCACTTTCATGCATTGGAGAAGGAAATGGCAACCCACTCCAGTGTTCATGCCTGGAGAATCCCAGGGATGGCGGAGCCTGGTGGTCTGCCGTCTATGGGGTTGCACAGAGTTGCACATGACTGAAGTGACTTAGCAGCAGCAGTAGCAGAAGAGGACTTAGAGACCAGCTCTGGGTGAGTTTCAGAATCTCCATTCTCCACCCAGGACAACTGGACATCAACCAACAAGGACACCCCAAGTGACCAGGAAGACACCCACCCAGTTGCACCATTGATCTCCAGCCTCCACTCAACACACCTTCCCTGAATACTCTTCAAGCCTGCACCAGAGCCCATCCTCCACGAGTTCAACCATGTTGAACATGTTGAACATGACATGTTCATGAACATGTCATGTTGAACATGACAGCCTCTCAGGATGCTCTTCAGAAGAGTAGGCACAGCCTGGTTAGGCTGCAGTTACCTGACATCTTCATCATGGCCTTTTGCAGGGGAAGCCCAGCACTTCTGGTCAGAACCCTCCCTCTGCAAGAGTCTGAGGGACACTGTGCCCCTAGACCCTGGATTGTCTTCTATTATGACCATCAGCTTTCCTCTTCCTCTGAATATAGTGCGTGGGAGGGAGACACTGATGGCAACTAAGACTTGTCTTCCTGGTTCAGGTAACCTGGAGTCTGTTAAATTGAGGAGGGGGAGTCACAAGGAACAGCCTGTCCTTGGTAAATCAGTGATTCTTCAATCTGGTGGGTGACACAACAGTGGAAACCCAGATTGCAAGCACTGCACTGTCTCATGATGAAATTAGAGTCTTATGTCAAATGGTACTTAGCATTGTCATGTCAAGTTGTTGGTCAACATAAATTCATCTAAAGTAATTGAGTAACTATGGTATAAATAGGAAGTTAGAGTGTTCATCAGACTTTGGGGGCAAATGCCTGAACTTTTTGAACCTGGATAATGGGATCTAACAGAAGCAAAAGATATTAAGAAGAGGTGGTGAGAATACACAGAACTGTACAAAAAAAGATCTTCATGACCCAGATAACCACGATGGTGTGATCACTCACCTAGAGCTAGACAACCTGGAATGAGAAGTCAAGTGGACCTTAGGAAGCATCACTACGAGCAAAGCTAGCGGAGGGGTTGGAATTCCAATTGAGCTATTTCAAATCCTAAAAGATGATACTGTGAAAGTGCTGCACTCAACATGCCAGCAAATTTGGAAAACTCAGTAGTGGCCACAGGATTGGAAAAGGTCAGTTTTCATTCAGACCCCAAAGAAAGGCAGTACCAAAGAATGTTCAAACTACCGCACAATTGCACTCTCACATGCTAGCAAAGTAATGCTCAAAATTCTCCAAACCAGGCTTCAACAGTAGGTGAACTGAACTTCTAGATGTTCAAGCTGGATTTTAAAAAGGCAGAGGAACCAGAGATCAAATTGCCAACATCCACTGGATCCCTGGTGGCTCAGAGGGTAAAGCATCTGCCTGCAATGCAGGAGACCGGGGTTCGACCCCTGGGTTGGGAAGATCCCCTGGAGAAGGAAATGGCAACCCACTCCAGTATTCTTGCCTGGAGAATCCCATGGATGAAGGAGCCTGGTGGGCTACAGTCCATGGGGTTGCAAAGAGTTGGACACAACTGAGCGACTTCACTTTCACTGGATCGTAGAAAAAATAAGAAAGTTCCAGAAAAACATTTACTACTGCTTTATTGACTATGCCAAAGCCTTTGACTGTGTGGATCACAACAAACTATGGAAAATTCTTTAAGAGATGGGAATACCAGACTGCCTTACCTGCCTCATGGGAAATCTGTATGCAGGTCAAGAAGCAACAGTTAGAACTGGGCATGGGACAACAGACTGGTTCCAAATCAGGAAAGGAATATGATAAGGCTGTATATTGTCACCCTGCTTATTTAACTTATATGCAGAATACATCATGTGAAAGGCTGGGCTGGATGAAGCACAAGCTGGAATCAAGATTGCCAGGAGAAATATCAATAACCTCAGGTATGCAAGATGGATGGGTCATGGTGGAGAGTTCTGACAAAAGCCTGCAGTCCATGGGGTCACAAAGAGTCAGAGTTGCTTTCATTTCATTCTTCCCAGAGTTCAAAGATTACATAAAACTACTGCAACAGCATTTCTAATAAAGCCTCTGCATAACTACAATAAGTATGTAATCATAAATACTCTGATGTCATAGAGTCAAAATATGGTGTGCTGTTTGTTAAATTTCTCCTGCCACCTTGATGGCTGAGTCTCTAAAGTTAGAATCCCAATCATCAAGCTCCCCAGAAATACATCTGATTTTCCTTGAGTGGTTCAGAAGCAGTGCTCACTGGAACCATACATTATCACTGTCCTCCTAAGTCCATAAATTGGGGGAGTTTCCAGTTGATTTATGGATGGTGCCATCTTGGCTTAAAGGTGAGAAGTTTAAACTGTGAAACACTCCAAGCTAGAGAAATGACACTCAGGTGGCAGAGCCTGCACAGTGGGACAGACACTCCCTGTGTTGCCGACTGTCTTATCCCTTCCGGGGTGTCAGCTGGCCTGGGTCTCTTGACATGACTGAGTGACTGAACTGATCTGAACTGAACTAATGGTTGATTCATGTTGATGTGGGGCAGAAACCAACACAATATTGTAAAGCAATTATCTGCCAATTAAAAATACACAAGTTAATGAAAATAAGAAAAATTAAAAACATAACTTTGGAATAATGTTCATTAAAACATAATAAGCAAAGCCATGGGAATATTTCCCACCATGATATACACAGGAAGAACTCCACAGAGTCCACAAATCCCATTTCAGTACATCTCAGGGCACTGGTGACATTTTGCAAAGAACAGAGATGGTCCAGTTCAGTCCAGTTCAGTTCAGTCGCTCAGTCATGTCTGATTCTTTGCCACCGCATGGGCTGCAGCACACCAGGATTTCCTATCCATCACCAACTCCCGGAGCTTGCTCAAACTCATGTCCATTGAATCAGTGATGCCTCCAACCATCTCATCCTGTCATCTCCTTCTCCTTCCACCTTCAACCTTTCCCAGCATCAGGCTCTTTTCAAATGAGTCAGTTCTTCTCATCAAGTGGACAAAGTATTAGAGTTTCAGCTTCAGCATCAATCCTTTCAAGGAATGATTATTCAGAACTGATTTCCTTTAGGATGAACTGGTTGGATCACCTTGCAGTCCAAGGGACTCTCAAGAGTCTTCTCCAACACCACATTTCAAAAGCACCAATTCTTCAGCGCTGAGTTTTCTTTATAGTCCAATTCTCACATCCATACATGACCACTGGAAAAACCATAGCTTGGACCAGATGGACCTTTGTTGGCAAAGGAATGTCTCTGCTTTTTATATGCTGTCCAGGTCGGTCATAGCTTTTCTTCCAAGGAGCAAGCGTCTTTTAATTTCATGGCTGCAGTCACCATCTGCAGTGATTTTGGAGCCCAAGAAAATAAAGTCTCTCACTGTTTCCATTGTTTCCCCAGCCATAGGTATACATATGTCCCCTCCCTCCTGAATCTCCTCACCCCCCACCGCATTCCATCCCTCTAGGTTGTCACAGCGCACTGGGTTTGAGTTTCGTGTGTCAAAAAGCAAATTCCCATTGACTGTCTATTTTACATATGATATTGTATATGTTTTAATGTTACTCTCTCAATCCGTCCCACTCCTTCCCCAATGTGTCCAGAAGTCTGTTCTCTATGTTTGGGTCTCCCTTGCTGCCCTGCAATAGGTTCATCAGTACCATTTTTCTAGCTTTCATATATATGCATTTATACACAGCATTTTTTTTTCTCTTTCTAACCTACTTCACTCTATGTAAAAGGCTCTAGGTTCATCCACCTTGTTAGAACTGACTCAGATATGTTCCTTTGTATGGCTGAATAATATTCCATTGTATATATATATACCAAAACTTCTTTATCCATTTATGTGTTGATGGACATCTAGGTTGCTCCCATCTGCCACAGTGAACATTCGGGTGCATGTGTCATTTAGAATTGTGGTTTTCTCAGGGTATATGCCCAGTAGTGGCATTGCTGGGTCATATGGTAGTTTTATTCTAGTTCTTTAAGGAATTTCCACACTATTCTCAATAGTGGCTGTGTCAGTTAACATTCCCACCAACAGTGGAAGAGTGTTCCCTTTTCTCCACACAGTCTCCAGCATTTGTTGTTTGTAGATTTTTTGATAATGGCTGTTCTGACTGGTGTGAGGTGACACCTCATTGTAGTTTTGATTTGCATTTCACTAATAATGAGTGATGTTGAACCTCTTTTTCATGTGTTTATTAGCCATCTGTATGTCTTTTTTGGAGAAATGTCTTTTATTTCCTTGTATGGGGGAGAGGAATAAAGCAATCAATCTCAGTACAGAAGTATTTTAAATCCTGTGGAAAGTACCTAAATATTTGTGAAATAGTTTACATATAATCTGATAAATATGAGAGAAAAGTTGAGTTCATTGATATTGGCATTTGCTTTCTCACTTGGTTGTATCAGACTCTTTGGGATCCCATGGACAGTAGCCCACCAGGCTCCTCTATTCATGGGATTCTCCAGGCAAGAATATTGGAGCAGATTGCCATTTCCTACTCCTGGGGATCTTCCCAACCCAGGGACTGAACCGGCATCTCTTATGTCTCCTGCACTGGCCACTTTACCACTGTGCCACATGGATATTGGTGGTAATGGCAAAGGTTTTAAATAACACACAAAAATTTTTTTTTTAACTTGAAGTACAGTTGATCTTTGTTGTGTTAGCAGTAAAGAGGAGACAACCCATTACAATGTCAATCTGTTCTAATTTTTCATCACACTGGAAAATAACATGTTTTAAAAAATAGTCTCTTATTAATTAAGTGGAAAGAATCCTTTTCCTTCACTCTACTGGGACACGACTGAGTGATTGAACTGGATTGAACTAAATTGGGAATATTGGAGCTAATGTTGCTTTTAAGGTAGACTAAGGACTCATGTGGGGACGTGTTTTGCCACTGAAAAGATATTCTTTTATTTACTACTTTAGGTTTCACAGGCATCAGAATCAATCAGTTCCGTTTGCTCCCTTCTAGCCCATTGTGGGCTGCTTTGCAAGTAGCCACAGGAAAACAAAGAAATGAGAAAAAGAAGGCAACTGAAGGTCACAAGTAAACTGAACTCGCACCAGACAGGACATAATTTTCAGAAATACATGTGTGGGTGAAGCAATACAATGCTACATACCCAGAAGAGAAATAGGGTCCAGGTCTCAAGGTAGAGACCACCCTAAGAGTGTTACTGGATTCTTTTGGTCAGCTTCTTCCAATGCTGTTGCTTTCTCCCTCAGACCTTGTGGATTTGGCTCCCAAGGCTTCCACATTGGCATTTCTTTTTTGTTTGTTTTGTTTTAATTTTTAATTTATTTATGTTTGGTTTCACTGGGTCTTTGTTGCTGCAAATGGGCTTTCTGTAGTTGCAGTGAGTGGGGGCTACTCTTTGTTGTGGTGAGGGGGCTTCTCATTGCAGTGGCCTCTCTTGTTGTGGAGATGGGCTCTAGACATGATAGCTTCAGTAGTTATGGCTCACAGGCCCTAGAGCATGAATTGTTGCACACAAGCTTAATTGCTCCACTGCATGTAGAATCTTCCCAAATCAGAGATCAAACCCAAGCCCTCTGCATTGGCAGGCAGACTCCTATCCACTGTGCCACCAGGGAAGTCCCATATTGGCATTTCTTGCCTGCAAAACAAACCAGATTAAGTGGATGTGCCTCAAGGTGCCATCCGTATGAGGGACAGTAATGACTGGGGCCCAGTCTTATTCAGTGTTTTCAAGGGAATGAATTGAAGTGCTGTGAACTTTGCCAAGACTGCCTCTCCCCTCATCTCAGAGCTATCAGCCCACTCCTGGATCTACCAGGCTTCCACATTCATGAGTCTGTTGTTTTTGTTCTTTCAATGAGCCCGATTCCCCATAGATACCCTGTTTTCTTCCTCTCAGTGGTTCTCTATGAGTAGAATGAGACTCTTCCTCCATGTGGACCTGAGGAGGATACGATCTCTTTCCAGCTTCTCTTCTTGTTGCTTGTCCTTGCCCAGAGATGGCTGTGCACTGGTGCAGAGGTAGAGAGACGGAGCACCTCTAGGTCATGATCCACTAAGCTACGCTAAACCCTTCCTTACTGTTGTCTAGGTTCCTTCCTTCAGCCTTATGAAAGGATGCTGGGCTCTGATGATACCACAGTCCTCTTGTTATCCTTCCCTTGATTTGATCCAAAGGCCAGGGAAGTAAAGCCCCATCTCTACTGGCAGGGCTGGGGGAAGTATGGCCAAATTCTCTGGCCTGTGCTTTAGCCAGGACCTACCCTCCCTCCTTGTCCAACAGGCAGTAGACCCGATGTTAGTTCCCACGTTGCTCCCTAGGCTGCCACCAACATGCTTGGCCTGAGCCCCGCCCTCACCCTGCCCAAGCCCAGCATCCTAATGGGAACTCCAAACCAAGCTTCCATTCTGCCCCCACACAGATGGAGCCTGGACTCCAAACTACATCCTGGTACCAGATGAGGGATCTGCCTGGGTATCCATCCAGGATGCCAGAATTCTTCAACCAAGCAGGCAGACCTGTTCTGGGAGGCTGTCTAGGGGCAGCTCCCAAGCTTACTTTCTATGGCTCAGAGACACTCTGGTGCTTGCACGCACCTGTGATTAGTGATAGAGCAGATATCACAGCCAGCTTTCAAAGGGAAACTCAAGGATGAAGTCAAGCCTCTGCTTACCCTGGGACCCATCCCTCCCTGCTGTGGAGACCCCTCTGTCTCACTGGTCCCCACAGTCCCTACATCACATTCTCACCTGTAGACCTCGTTTGTGGAGCTAATTCTGTTGGTCTTGACCTGCCATTTGCTTTGTCTTCTTGCAGCTTTAGGGCAGTCTTCCTCAGGTATTCATTTTGGAGATTCTGAATCACATGAAAAGGAAAATTATTTCACATAGACAGATGTCCCCCTTGCACTTTCTTCTCCAAGTGGAGCTTCTACGATCACTCATTGGCTTCTACGATCAAGCCAATAAGCACCTTCTTCTTTACACAAACTGGTATCCCAGGATGAGACACTGACCATCTGCTGCTGGGATGACATATTGTAACCATCAA